GCCCAGCCCGCGCGCGCCGCCGTCGCGCCGCGGTTGCCAGGGTGAAAGGGCGGCCCCCAGAAGGGAGGGGGCGAGGAGCGCCCGCGCCTGCGCGCTGCCGGGGACGGGTCGGGGCGGGGGGTTGTTGGGTACTGGGAGGCAGTGCGTGCTTCTAGGTCCTGCTGGTCCTTTGAGGGCGCGTCTCCTTCCTTCCTCCATCCTTTTCCCTCCGGCGGGCGCGAGCGCTGCATGCCTTGGAATGGACCACAGCCGGGCCCGTGGGGAGGCCACGGGAAGGAAAGCTCTGGCCCTGGAGACAGATCAGCCCCCTCTCGTGCACGCATCTGAAGCACGTCCCCACACTGGCCGTGGAGGAGCAGCCGGGCCAGACCAGCCCCAGTTATCCCGTGGGAAGAAAAGGGCTGGAATGGGAATGTAGTGGAAATATGGGAAGGGCCTGCAGGACTGTGGCGGGAACGTGAAAAGACTCTGGAGCCTGGTAGATCTTTCCCGAGAGCCCCCCTGGGCACCTTGGTATCTGTCGTTTTGAGCAAGTCACTCTCCCTGAGCCTGTTTCATATTCGGTAAAAAAAGAGAAATAATGCTGACTTTGCAGAGCATTGTGAGGATTAAATAACGTATTTGAAGTGCCTAGTACATAGTTAGTGCTCAGTAAATTATAGTTATTCGTGGACCTGCTCAGTCTCAACTGAGGAGACAGTCCAGATTGTAGAAAGCTTGGGAAGGAAGGCTTGAAAATGTTCTCCAAGGAGACAGGCTTCATCCTCCATTCTGATGACTCTGGAGAGGCTCAGAAAAGTTCACCTGGGCAATCCTTTATAATGAATGAACAAAAGGGAAATATATATTGAGTACCTGTTAGGTACCAGCTCTGCAAATGGAGAATTCAGCAGTGACAAGGCCTTGCTCTCACTTGGAGAGCTTACAATCTAGTATGGGAGGCTGACCGATAGATAGATACATAGATAGATACATAGATAGATAGGTAAATAAATAACATGAGGTGGTTAGAGGCGCTATAAAGAAATATTACATGGGGTAAATGGACTCAGAACTGTGAGGGCTCCATTTCCCATAGGAAGGTCAGGGAAGGCCTCTCTCAGGAGTGACCTGAGTGAAGTGAGAATAAGGCATACAAAGGTCTGGGGAAGAACATTCTAGACAGAAGGAATAGCAAATACAAAGGCCCTGAGAGGGCACGAGCTCTACGTTTAAGAAACAGCATTTATCCTACAAGGCTGTAATTACCTCTATACATGGGTCTCCCCGACTATACTGTGATTTCCTTGAGAGTTGAGATTTCTTTTACCCCTACCTGTATCCCCAGCACAGCGCCTGCCATCTAGTATGCACTCAATAAATCCTTTTTTAGCTGGACAGACATGTACAAGAAACAGGATGAAGGGCATAAAAGGGAAAACAGGAACTTGGTTCAGGCTAGATGGGTAGTGCTTGAAGGCCAGGGTCCAGGGAGGCCTTACGTGCACAGTTTTGCTCCTGCAGCTGAAAGGAGTAATGGCATGCAGTCTTGCAAAGAGATGCTCCCTTTCTTGGTACCAAGAGAAAGGAGGCTCCTATCCAAGCTGCCCTAATTCCATGAGGAGCAGTGGGAGCAGCCAGGCACCCAGCCACTAGTGCACTGCTGCAGCCACAGAGGCCGTTCTCCGCACTGGGCACGCACTGCAGCTGAGTCAGTTTCCCATGAAGGAGAAAGGCAGCCTAGAGGTTGGAGAACATCAGAGGTCAAACCTCCCGACTGTGAGCTCCCCAGCCCTACCCCTGCCTGCCACTGTGGGACCCGCCACTAAGGGGAAGAAACGGCATTTAGCACTGAGCCCAGTTCTCTTGCTGCAAGGACTTCACCTCACTACTGTCAGAGGGCACCTCCTGGGCACTTTATGACAGGTGGGCATAACCACAGGAGGAGGCAGAAAGAGGCTTTGGAGACAGTAAGTCACAGCTGAAATGTGATCGCCAGATTCTGTCGCAGGTCACCTCCCAAGAGCTCATTCCTGGCTCCTTGCCTCCTCGCTCCCCTCGTTCTTTCCCTGCAGCCCAGCCAGGAGCCTGCAGTTTTTGACAAGAGCTCTACCCTATTTGACTTCTGCCCTCGCCAGATCTCTGGCTCTGTGGCCAGTCTGGCTCCCCTGCCCCGCTCACTCCGGGCCTTCTGCTTCCCCTCGTTCCTGTCCAGGAACAGCTAGTCTCTTCTGGCTGTGACTTCTATCTTCCCCAGCCCATATGGGCGGTCTCGCCGCAGTCACTCACCTAGCTGGGCACTAGGTCTCACCCCCAGCCCACTCCCGCTGCTCTGGCTTATGGGCAAGTCCTTTGCCTTTTCATACTTAACCTTTTCACAGCCAGGTTGCTTTAGAAGTTTTCAAAAGCAGCTTTACTAATAAACTAAAGCCATTGTTCTCAAATGTGATCCCCGGACCAGCTGCATCAGGGATACCTGGTAACTTGTCAGAAGTGCAAATTCTCAGGCTTCATCCCCTGACCTACTAAATCAGAAAGTCTAGGGGTGGGGTCCAGCAATCTGTGTTTTAACAAGTCCTCCAGGTGATTCTGATGCGCACTAAAGCTTGAGAGCCACTGAACCTAGAGAAAGCAAATTGTTAAAAGGAACTACAGAGGCATAACGGTTCAACTCAGGTTTCTGATTCTGAGACAGCATATCTAGTCATGGATATTTATTTGATTGAGGTTCCTGGGCCTCCGGGACCGCCTGTCTGAGGAAATCTCAAATAGGACAGCCTCAGGGTGGGCACCTCTGATGTAAAGAGCCTGGCAAAGTTGTCTCTTCCAGAACCAGGTTCCCTGTCCTCTTATGCCAGGCATTGCCTGCAGCCCTGAATTCACTCATAAATTCTGAGAATCCTCCATCTCTTGGGAGAGAAAGTTCCTTGCCTTAAGTGTTGCCAACAGTCTTCCCCTTTGGGAGTCAGTATAGGGCCGTGGGCCTGGAGTTAGCCATCTGAATTTAAATCCTGACACTGCCGCTTACCAGTCGTGTAGACTTCAGTGAGTCACTTAACCTCAATAAGCCTCAATTTCCTCATCTTTAACATAGTGATCATAATAGTAGGAATTCCCAGTTATGGTTGTTGTGAGGATTAAAGGAGATTATGTATGCAAAATGCCTGGTTTAGAACGCATTTAACAAATGGTAGCTGTTACTATTATTAGTCCCCTGCACATCATATCCTTCTGGGCCACCCTTGCGTGGCTTTGTCCCTCTCGGTCTTTGGGGCCTTAGGAGTCCTATTCTCATCCCTACCTCCCCTTTTCACTGTTATACCTGGCTTTTCTGAGGCATAATCACTGGCCGGATGCTGTTCTTTGTTGAAGCCCCAAATCTTCACCCATTGCTCCCTATCAATACCTGGCCTGAGTCGTAGCATATGCCACCTAGCCCAGGAAAACCCTGAGCTTCTCTAAACCTCACTTTCTTCAGCCGAGAAATAGGCATCCTAACAGGAAAACCTACAAGGGTTGTTGTGTGGATTCAAAGAGATAATTCATGTTAAGTGTTTAGCAGTGTCTGGCATGTAATGAGCGCTCAAAAAATATTAGCTATTCTTGTCTCTTCCCAACCATAGAAACCTAATTAATTCTGTTTTTCCTGCCCCCTTTTGACTAAAAACCAAACTTCCCCAAAAGCCCTGGAACCGCTTGGAACTCAGAGTACTAATTTCTGACCCTAGGAACTTGTTATCGACATTTGAGTTCTCATAGGAGGGAAAGGATGGTTCTGTTCTGACATTGGCTGGCGCTCAGTGGAGTGGTCTAGCCACATACTTGGAGAGCTCTAAGAAAGTGGGAGGCAGGGCCGGCCCCGTGGCTTAACGGTTAAGTGCGCGCACTCCGCTACTGGCAGCCCGGGTTCGGATCCTGGGCACGCACAGACGCACGGCTTGTTGGGCCATGCTGAGGCCGCGTCCCACATGCAGCAACTAGAAGGATGTGCAACTACGACATACAACTATTTCCTGGGACTTTGGGGGGAAAAAAGGAGGAGGATTGGCTATAGATGTTAGCTCAGAGCCAGTCTTCCTCAGCAAAAAGAGGAGGATTAGCATGGATGTTAGCTCAGGGCTGATCTCCCTCACAAAAAAAAAAGTGGGAGGCAGTCAGTGGTCACGAACCTTGCTGGCAAAGGGCCTGGAAAGCATGTGAGAAGAGACAGAATTAAAGCACCTGTGAAGACGTACTAACTTCTAGTTATAAAATAAATGTCATAGGGAATATAGACAATAATATTGTAATAACTTTGTATGGTGACAGATGGTAACTAGACTTACCGTGGTGATCATTTTGTAATGTATACAAATATTGAATCACTATGATGCACACCTGAAACTATGATATTGTATGTCAGTTATACTTCACTGAAGAAAGAGAGAAAATAAAAATAAACATCTCCACATAAAAAGAAAAATAAAAAGCACCTGTGAATATTTAGCCTGGAGAAGAAAAACTCAGGGGAGACATGATCATTTACTTCAAATTTCTCTAGGGCCCTTGTGTGGAAGAGGGAGCACACTTGTTTTCTAGCATCCCACAGATGCTAGAATTAGACCCAATTGGTGGAAGCTACAGGAAGATAGATTTCCACTCAACAAGAAGTCCAACTTTCTAACAGAGCCATACAAAGCTGGAATGGACTTTGTTTGGTAGTGAGCTCCCCATCAGTGGAGGTATCCAAGAAGGGGCTGGGCATTTCCTTGGCAGAGCTGTCACAGCAGGATCAGTCACTGGAAGGGTACCTGGCAGAGATAACCTTCAACATCTTTCTGAACCCTCAGGTTCTATCATTCTGCATACTAGAGGCCAATAACTATTTATTCTCTTTCTGACTCAGCCTTGCAATTGTACTCACCTCTGGAATGCACTCTGAATCTCTTCTCCCCACCCCCACTCTCATATGATCCATTGCAAGAGGCCCCACTCCTTCCTGGGAGAGTGCAAGAGAGTTAACTCAACTCCAGCCATTACGATGTTACTATGTCACAATACCTTCTCCATGTGTGATGGCCTGCTTTATGCTAGACACTGGGGACACAGATGAGTGAGGTCTGGCAGACACAGGTGTTTCCATCACATCCTGATGTGGCTCTGAAAATGTCTCTGGACTCATCATATTCAGAGAATGACCAAGAACAAAGCAAATTTATCTGCCTGTTGATCTCCTCATTGTGAAAGGATGCTGGCACCCAGCCAGGTCTCTCCAACACAGAGGAACAGGCTCATTGTTCCTGGTAAGAAAATTACTCAGCAGCCCCTCTCCGTCTGCATATGCTGTGAAAATGGTATGGGCCAGATTGAGAGCGGGTGATTGAGACTAGGGAGATAAAGGGCCATAGTGAATGACTGCACTTCTATTGCATTGGCTGAGTACCCAGACCCTGATACCAGACTATCTGAGTTCAAATGTCAAGTCTACCATTTACCAGCTGTGTGGCCTTAGGCAATTTCTTAACCTCTCTGTACCTCAACTTTCTTATTTGTAAAATGAGAGTATTAACAGCACCCGCTTGAAAGGGTTGTCATGAAGAGAAATATCAATAGATGTAAAGTGCTTAGAATAATGCCTGACATAAACAAAGTACATAATAAATGTTAGCTATCTATTACTATTTCCTAAAATGAGCCATTCTCCTGAGTTCAGCACCAGGAAATAATGGTGTCTGTGAGCCCTCCGATACTGCAATGCCATGGCTGTCAGGTTCAGGTGGTACTGTGTCAGCACTTCCTAGGGAAATAAGTCTCGTGAAATCCATCTCTCATTCTGAAAGTCAATCTGAACTTTTCCATATCAATAGGAGTTTGAAAAGGGAAGGTGACAGGATTTAAGCTGGAAGGGTAGGATTTAAGACAAGCAGACAGAAGGGAAGAGAGGAGCCTTTCCAAGCCAAGGAACCAGTCTGAGCAAAGGTAAGAAAAAATGAGAACAACTCCAGGAAATGGAGATGAAATGAATGGAAATAGCAACCTTCAATGCCCAAATGCTGGGGAAGTAGGAGGAAAACTTTGGAACATACAGGAGATGGAATATTCTGCAGCCATAAAAAATTATCTTAAACTTGAAATCGACAAGCCAAAGAGATTTATGCACCCCTATGTTCATTGCAGCATTATTCACAATAGCCAAGACATGGAAGCAACCCAAGTGCCCTTCTATGGATGAATGGATAAAGAAGATGTGGTATATATATACAAAGGAATACTACTCAGCCATAAAAAAGACAAAATCATCCCATTTGCAATAATATGGATGGACCTTGAGGGTGATGTTAAGCAAAATAAGCCAGACAGAGAAAAACAAATACTGCGTGATTTCACTCATATGTGGAAGATAAACAAACACATGGATAAAGAGAACAGATTAGTGGTTACCAGAGGGGAAGGGGGTTGGGGGATGGGCAAAAGGGGTAAAGGGGCTCATATGTATGGTGATGGATAAAAATTAGACTACTGGTGGTAAGCACGATGCAGTCTATACAGAAATTGATAAATAATAATGTACACCCAAAATTATACAATGTTACAAACCATTATGATCTCAATAAAATAATTGAAATAAAATTATCTTTAAGAAAAATACAGAGCAATGTGGGAGAAAGCTTATGATATTACAACTTAAAAACAAAACAAAACCTTAGCTAGAATATTTTTTTCTAAATACAATTGCATAATGTCTACTGTAGAAAAGTAACTAATACATTTATAAATTTTTATTTCGTTTATAACTTGTAGCTTAGGTGAGTGGCATCATATATGGAAGCTCAGCCTGGTTTCCTGTTATGAAATATACTACCTACAAGTACTAGATGTTTACTTTTCTGCTTACATGAAAGCAAATCAAAGACAAGTGAATTGGCTTTGAAATATAAACTCAAATTTGGCATGACTTCCTCATGATTAAAAAACAGAAAAAAGAAAAAGGGACAGAGAGAGAGATTAGTAGGGGTCAGATTGTTATGTTCTCTAAATTTCAGGTTACGGTGTTGGATTTGAGCATGTTGCAAGTGGGAGGCCACTTACAAGTTCATGAGCAATGAGTTATTTTGGGAAGCTTGATTTGGCAGGAGGAATAGGAAAGACAGAAGTGGGATGAGTCTGGGGTGAGGAGTTGACTGGGGATCCAGAGACCCAGACCTCTCCCTTCTACTCCCTGTCCCTCCACCTTCCCTGGTTAGATCCCTACAGCCCCCTGCCCCATCCCCCACTCCACCACCATTAGAATACAGTGAGTATCTTAGCATTACAAATCTTTAGTTTTTCAGTCAAATGGAAAAAATAATAAATTGGCCTTAAAGAAAACTGTTGGCTTTCCTCCTAAATCATCTAAAACAGAGGTCAGCAAACTTTTTCTGGAAAGGCCCAAATAGTCAACATTTTAGGCATTGTAGGCCATATGGTTGGTCTCTGTCACTACTATGCAACTCTGCCACTGTAGAGAGAAAGCAGCCATAGACAGGACATAAACGACTGAGTGTGGCTGTGTTCCCATAAAACCTTACCAAAATAGGTTGGGGGCTGGATTTGACTCACAGACTACAGTTTATCAACTCCTGATCTAAAAGAACATTTTGTTATTTTTCTTAGAAAATAATTCTGTGATTCTTCTGTGCCTCTACAGTCTCCCTGATCCTCCCTCTCAGACACTTCCCATACACATCCACCGCCATCCCCACCTCTATTGATGAGAGGAAGACCAGTGATGATGTGATGGGCCAATGATCTCTGGAGCAATGATGGGCAAAGCAGAGTGTTAAAGTGAAGGGTCTTTGGATCTAGATCAAGATTTGAGCCCTGACTCTGCCAACTGTGTGATCCCAGCACACAACCTCTCTGAGCCCAGTTTGCTCGTGGGCAAAATAGAGATGATAGGTGCAACCTCACAGGGTTTTTGTGAGGATTAAATGTTGGTGAAGCACCCAGCCTAATGACTAGCATGGAACAGGCACTCAATAAATAATTATTAATCCACTATGGCTCTATAAATAGCAGTCAAACAGAACAGATCCAGCCTGAATGGAGAGAATTCCAGGGTGGATCCAGCCTTCAGGCCAGTACAGGCGCTAGAGCGAGAAGCAGCCGGGATCACTTATACACGAGGCTAGATAAGAAGGCAACACTAAATTTGAAGACACTGCTGCAAGACAGATTTGTATCAAATACTTCTGATGAATCATTTATTAGGCAGCCCCACTGTACCAAATCCACTTGGCTGTTGGTGGCTTGGGAACATGGTCGCACGCTTCCATTGAAGTAATACGATCCTGCTCTTCATCCTCAGACTCTCAACAGCTGGTGAGTGGGAGAATCTCGTGTAAACAGCCTCCTCTGAGTTCACTCTTCCGGGCTCATGGGACCAGTCACCTTTTCTTCAGCTGGAAAATAAACACATCAAGAAAATGAATGCTTCTCTCCTAGGGGAACACGAGACATGAGAAGCAATCAATAACAAGAAATTACGGGGATAATCTTTAGGGAAGAAACTGAAATGTAAGAGGCTAAATACACACACACACACACACACACACACACACACACACTTAGATTAACAAATAAGGAAGATATCTGAGAATCTGAGTTCAAATCTTGATTTTACCCCCTTATCAGCTGTATATTTGTGAGTAAGTTATTTAACTTCTGTGCCTACATTTCCCCGTATATAAAATGAAGATAATCATGGTATGTTCCTTTAAAGTTGTTGTGAGAATTAAATGCATTAATAAAGTGCTTAGAACAGTGCCTGACACATAGTAAAGAATGCTATAGCTATTATTTGTGTCAGTATTATTCTTTGACAAAGACGTTTTTAGAATAGCTGAACAACTGAATCAAACAAACACCTAAGGAAGCAAATTCAAAACTAACACGGAAAATCTGATTCTATGGTATTCTCAAAGACCCAAACCTGAAATTCACATGAAACTTTGGAGTTTTCACTCTTGTGACTCAGCAGTGGGACAGGTGAGACCAGGAAAACGGGTGTTCCCATAGTTGAGTTCAATTCAAGAAACAGCAACTGACAAAATGTACTGAAGTTGACAACTATATTGTGGTTTGTAAAAGGATATCCTCATTCTTAGGAAATACACATGGAAGCAGTTAGGACTAAAGGGCCATGCTATATGCGAATTATTCTTAAATGCTTCAAAAATACTAGGTGTACATACATTCATGTATCTGTATAGAGAGAAAAAAATAAATGTTTAACAATAAGTGTAACAAGAGTCTATGGTGTTCTGTGTACCATTTTTATTCTTGCAGCTTTTCTATAAGTTTGAAATCATTTCCAAATAGAAAGTTTTTAAAAATCCACTAGGATGGGTTAAAAATAAAATAGAAGTGTTGACTCAAGCTTGACTATCACAGAAGCACGGGGCCACTGCAGAACAAGTAGAGGTGACAAGATACAGTCTTGACCAGCTGCCAAGAGAGCCTGGACTTGGAACGAGGAGACGTAAACTAGTTCTATGAGTCAAAATCTAACGGAGACAGGCTAAGATCGCCAGACACACTTGTCTCCACAATAGGCTCTGCTTGTCCCCAGGTGCCTAAACCAGGTTGTATGTGGCAGTAAGAATAACATTGCTTGAAATCCTTGCAAGTTTCATTTTAGGTTTCAGTTTCGAGACTTTTGTTTCACGTGCCAGTTATTGCCGCTGTGCTGATCCCCCGCCTCAGATTCCTCCCCAACTTCAATCCATTTTGCAAACTGCTAATAAAATAAATCCCTAAATCATTGCTCTCACCACATCAGCTCCTCACTCAAGAAATTACAGTGGCTTCCTATTTTCCACGACACTTTATCTAAACTTTGCTGTGTCATCAGCTCCATGTTTTAGGATTTTACATATTTTGACTTGCAGCTTCAACTGTCATGATTTTTTTCCCCATCGCTGAAAATAACAGACCCTATGATTAACCTGACATCCGATAGTGGTTGATGCTTAGTTACTGTCATGTGGCCTGAACACTAGGCTTGTGCCAAAGCTGTGATTTGTCTGAGACTGAGATAAAAGTTCTTTCTCATTTTTTTATTTAAATAAACTTTTTAATTTTATAATAGTTTTAGGTTTACAGAAAAGTTGCAAAGATAATACAGAGAGTTCCCACATGCTCCACACCTAGTTTCCCCTATTGTTTAACACCTTACATCACTATGGCACATTTGTCACAACTAATGAACCCACACTGGTACATATTTATTAACTAAACTCCATACTTTATTCAAATTTCATTTATTTTTCCTAATGTCCTTTTCTATTTCAAGATCCCATCTAGGAGATCACATTACATTTAGCTTTCCTCGTATTTTTAAATTTTAAAATATTATTTAAAAAGCCAAACATAGGGGCCAGCCTGGTGGTACAGTAGCTGAATTCACACACTCCGCTGTGGTGGCCTGGGGTTCACAGGTTTGGATCTTGGGCAAGGATCTACACCACTCATGAAGCCATGCTGTGGCAGTGACCCACATACAAAATAGAGGAAGACTGGCACAGATGTTAGCTCAGGGACAATCTTCCTCAAGCAAACAAAAAGAGGAATATTGGCAACAGATGTTAGCTCAGAGTGAATCTTTCTCACCAAAGAAAAAGCCAAATGTAAATAAAGTATATAGTCTTATCGAATAAGATTTTATATGACACTTTGATGCAATATCTTTCCTACTACCCTTGAACACGAAAAAACTACAGCATCTAACTCATCCCAAGACGTGATAAGAACATTCACTTTAAGGCTTCCTGAATTTTCTCTTTGTGTCAGATCCCTTGGGAGCCCAGAACACCCTTCTCAGATTTCGTGTCCAAGGCTACATCTAATTAGCTGGTCCAAGAAAGCTTTGCTTCCTATACAGTATAAAGGAATTCTCTAGACAGTAACCCACATGAAGATTCCTGAAATCTCGTGTTTGACACAAACACTTGGTGCTAAAATGAGCTTTCACTACTGCCTGTGGAAAGGACCTCAGTAACATCACTGCTGGCATTATTCCCTCACGGGCCAGGACTATTAGAGTGTATTTTATGGAAAACTATAGTATCAGCTGCCCCTAAGCTGCTAATGACTTTTCTCTGGTTCAATTATAGGGAGTCTATTCACCCTACTCATAGAGCCCATTAGCTCATGGAGCTAATTAACAGGCAAGGTTTAATCCCTCTTTCTAGCCTCCAATTTGACACTTGGATCTGCCTTCCTTCCGACACCCTCATCTTTCCCTGCAAAGCTGGAGTAGAAGAAAAAGTTCATGATACCATCTAACAAAGTGGCCATGTTTTTCCCATCAGGAGTGGGTAATTTCCCATTCTCTCTCTTAAGGAAGAGAAACCCCTTCTTAGAAGAATTTCTTAGATGGCACCTGAATTTAAATTGGCATCCTGCAAAGGGTTAATAGTTATCAAGATTTCAGATAATAAAAATATTTGAAAAGTGACAGCAACTCTTCCCAAGTGAAATACTTGGCATAGAATTTTAAACAGGCAACATAAGATTTTTATTAATTTTATTTTTTTTAATTTTTGATGTTTCCCTTTGTTAGAAAACCCAACATAAAAGTAAAGGGAATTTTGAAAAAAGAAAAATTCATTCATAATTTCACCATCCTAGCATACCTATTTTCAGGTTTATGACTTCCCTTTTGCCTTTGTCCATAGTTTGTGTTTTTTTAACCTCATATTATATTATACACATTTCCTATGTTTCTGGTATTCATGTAAATTTTTAATGGTTATATAATATTTCATTAAGTATATGTATAATTATTATTCAAACATTTCCCTAATGTGCTCTATGAGAGGAAAGACTTTTGTCTGTTTTCTTCACCCCTGTACCCTCAGCATTTAAAACAAAAAGTAGACATTCAGCACATATTTGTTGAATAAAAAGTGAATCTAAATGGTTTCAAATTTTTACTGTCATTTATTATTATAATTATTATTTTTATTTCATCCTGCTTTCTTTTGACTTAATTTTTTCTCACTCTATTTCCTTGAAATAAAAACAGTTTATCATGATTATTATCTCTCTTTTATGTAGAAAACATTTACAGTGATCAATTTTCTTTGATTATGGTCTTGCTGTGATTGGTATGAGTCCATGTAAATCCCTTGCATGTCTGAAATGTCTTTATTCTACCTTCACATTTATTTCATAGTTTGGACAGGTAGAGAATTCTATAATGGAAATCATTTTCCCTCAGAATTTTGAAAGTGACCTTCCATTTTCTTTTAGTTCCCAGTGCTCTGTGGAGAAAGCCATTGTCATTCTGATTCCTGATTCTTTCTTGTCTCCTTCTCTCCCCTCCTCCCTCCCTTTGTCCCCACCTCCCACCTCTCTGGAGTGCCTATTATCTGGATGTCGAATCCGCTGGAATGGATCGCTAACATTTTATCTTTTCCATCTTGTTGTTTTTGTCCTACTTTCTGAGAGATTTGCTCTAATTCATCTTGAAACTCTTCTATTAAGTTTTACATTTTTATTCTATTTTTAATTTTCAAGAGCTCTTTTTTTTCCCTCTCTGATTCTTCCTCTTTTAAATAACAAGCTATTTTCATAGATATAATCTTTTCTATTATCTATCTTAATTTAGTAATTTTTTAAAAAGTTTTATTCTACCTTACAGTCTGTTTCTTCCAAGTCATTTTGTTGTTGTTGTTGTTTTCCTTCTTTTGGTTTCTTTCATGGTAGAGACTTGCCTTAAGGGTCTGTTAATTCTTAATTGGAAGTTTTTTATTTGTGAGTAGATTTTGTAATTGAAGTGCTTCACTCTAGGGTGATCTGGCTAGGGTTCAATTGGCGAACTCCTGGTGTTAACATCCTAAGGTATTTTCCCTTGGCCTAGTCAGATTCCCCAGACAATAATCTTCCAATCTCCTGGTTGGTGGGTGAAGGCCTGGTTGCTAGCATTCCGGGGGCTAAGAGGGGGAAGAAGGCCTCAGGTCCTCTACCTTCTGTATGCAGACTTCCACTTAATCCCCCTGATTCCACTTCCACTTAATCCCCCCAAGTCCTGTTTTACCCTCTTCAGAGAATACCCCTCTAGTTGTCTGCTGGGGATGAGAAGAAGCATTTGCCTGACTTCACAGAATAGAGGATGATGTCTGGAAAACTTTAGTTTTTTAATATGCCTTTTAAAATTTTAATTATAACGTAAATACAATAAAGTACACAAATCTTAAGCACACACGGCTAACAAATTTTTATACATGTATGTATCCATGTAACACCATCCAGATTAACAGAGGATATTTCCAGCACCTAAAAAGACTCCCTCCTGTGCCCTCCCAGTCAAAACACTCGTCAAAGTAACCATTCTTCTGTTCTCTTTTACCATAGCTCAGTTTTGCCTGTTCTTAAACTTGATTTAAATGAAGTCACA